AAACTATGCATCAAATATTCTAAAAGCACTAATCTCTTAGCATGGGATAATATGGGAGCTATGGAGATTTTATCAAGTTGATGGGAGATAGTCACGTAGTTTATTCTAAAACTCTGAGGTAATGTAAAATGAGCAGAAAGGAATGTCAAAGTTGGCTTCTCATTTCCAAGTAGAGATAAGAAAGAACCTACTTGGCTTTTGATGGAAAAAGATTCCATAATAGTCTCAGAAATTCATCTAACTTTCTTTTCTCCTTTTAGCTCTGATATAAGTAGAAACAGTTGCAGGATTTTATTTCTATTCTGGAAGTTCTGAAGTTGCATGCAGGCCAAGGAATTATAGTCCTGCCCTAATGTGACTCACACTGGCTTGTTCTGAAGAGAAACAGGCCCTTAAAATCCTGTTGGTCACAAGTATAACCCATGTAGTGGCTCAAATGAAAAAGCTGAAATGAACGGGCTACACAGTTAGACAGTCTCAGATCGTGGTTTGAGGATTCTCTGTGAATTTGATTTGCTACACTTAACTAAATAGGGAGAATATCTATTTGCATTTGAAGATAAGCAGAAAAAAATAATAAACTAGTGAAGTAATTTTATATAATATGTCTATAATCATTAAGAAGAATCGTAGAAACTTATTTCCAAAATATTTCAAGCTGATTCACAAGATAGGGTTTCTTGTTTGTTTCTTTTTTTTTTTATTAATTAAATCTTTATTGTTCAGATTATTACATTGGTTCCTCTTGTTTCCCACCATAACTCCCCTCCACCCAGTTCCCACCCCACCCTCTGCCCTTACTCCCCACCCACTGTCCTCATCCATAGGTGCACGATATTGTCCAATCTCTTCCTGCACCCCCCACACCCCTTTCCCTGCCAAGAATAGTCAGTCCACTCCCTTTCTATGTCCCTGATTCTATTACAATCACCAGTTCATACTGTTCATCAGATTTTTTATTCACTTGATTCTTAGATTCACTTGTTGATAGATGTGTATTTGTTGTTCATAATTTGTATCTTTACCTTTTTCTTCTTCTACCTCTTCTTAAAGGATACCTTTCAGCATTTCATATAATACTGGATTGGTGGTGATGAACTCCTTTAGCTTCTTCTTATCTGTGAAGCTCTTTATCTGACCTTCACTTCTGAATGATAGCTTTGCTGGATAAAGTAATCTTGGTTGTAGGTTCTTGGTATTCATCACTTTGAATATTTCTTGCCACTCCCTTCTGGCCTGCAAAGTTTCTATTGAGAAATCAGCTGACAGTCGTATGGGTACTCCCTTGTAGGTAACTGACTTCCTTTCTCTTGCTGCGTTTAGGATACTCTCTTTGTCTTTTGCTCTTGGCATTTTAATTATGATGGGTCTTGGTGTGGTCCTCTTTGGATTCCTTTTGTTTGGGGTTCTCTGCGCTTCCTGGACTTGGAAGTCTATTTCTTTCACCAGGTAGGAAAGTTTTCTGTCATTATTTCTTCAAATAGGTTTTCAATATCTTGCTCTCTCTCTCTTCTTCTGGCACCCCTATAATTCGGATGTTGGTAAACTTGAAGCTGTCCCAGAGGCTCCTTACACTATCTTCGTATTTTTGGCTTTGTATTTCAAATCTTTGACTTCATTCTTGCGATCCTCTGGTCTGCTGTTGAGAGTCTGTATAATATTCTTTATTTCAATCAGTGTATGCTTAATTTCTAGTCGGTCCTTCATCACACCATCGAGGGTCTCACTAGATTTCTTGAGGATCTCACTACATTTATCGGCGGTCTCACCAGTCTTTTCCAGGTTCTTACTAAATTTATCGGCGGTCTCACCAGTCTTTTCCAGGGTCTTACTAAATTTATCTGCGGCTTCTAGACAGTTCTTGAGAGACCTTAAAAGTGTGGTTTTGAACTCTATATCCAGCAGTTTGCTTTCCTCCATTTCTGTCATTTGTGTCCTGTTTCTTTGTCTCAGCATTTTTTATGCTTCGCTGTGTCGATAGAGTGGCTTTCTGTGCTAAGTGACCCAATTACCTTAGGTAGACACTCTTGGTGCACCCCCTTGTGGGCTTTGTGCACAGTCTTGTTGTAGTTAAGCCTTGATTGTTGTAGTTATCACTGGGAGGATTTGACCTCCAGGACAATTGGCTGTGAGAATCAGCTGTGTCTGCAGTGGGAGAACTTCTGTCTGGAGACACCCCTCTGGGGCTAGACTTGCTTCAATGGGGCTTTGGTGCTCACTGAGTCTGCCCCCTGAGTGTGTCCTTTATGGTTCCATGGAGCTGCAAACTAGATGGTCCCACAGTGACCTCTGGGTTTCCTGGCTCCTGGATCTCTAGGGAGGTGCTAATCTAGCCTTTGCCTGAGGCTATCCAGCAAAAGCTTCCCTGCAAGGCTTGGGCGGGGCGGGTCCCATGGGATCAACAGGGCGGGGCTAGCAGTTATGGCTGCTCTCAGTCTTGCCCTCAGAGGCTCTGCTTCTCAGTGTCCAGGTAATTGCTGCAAGCCCCTTGGAGAGAAAGCTGCCCTCCGGTTCTGACCGATGCCAGACAGTCCCGCTTCTCCCGTATGAGTCTGGGTCCATAGAGACTCGCCCGGAACTGGAGCTCAGAGCCTGAGACTCCCTCCCGATTGAAAATGACAACCGCGCCCTCAGCCGCCAGCCCGCTCCGCATGCACCTCCGTACCTTAGTATTTTACTTCTGCACTGCGCCTCCTCTGAGTCTCGGTATGCTTTTCTTTTTCCTTCTAGTTGTAGAATTTCCACTCAGCCAGACTTCCTGTGGTTCTGGATGATGTTTGTTCCGTCTTTTAGTTGTATTTTTGAAGTGGTTGTTCGAGGCAGCAAACTCCAGTGTTTACCTATGCCGCCATCTTGGTTTTCAGCCTCTTGTTTCGCTGGTAGAGTTTCTGATGAGAAATCAGCTGTCAGCCTATGGGAGCTCCTTTGTAGGTAAAAAATTGCTTTTCTCTTGCTGCCTTTAAGATTCTCTCTTTTTTTGTTTACTTTTTGACATTTTAATTATGATGTGTCTGGGTGTTGGGCTCTTTAGGTTCTTCTTGCTTGCGACTTTCTCTGCTTCCTAATTGTATGAATTTTTCCTTCACCAGGTGAGGGAAATATTCTGCTATTATTTGTTCAAACATGTTCTTGTCTCTTGTTCACTTTCTTTCTCTTCCGGTACACTTATTATGCGAATATTTTTCAATTTCATGTTGTCCCACAGCTCAGCCGTCTTCTTGTTTTTTAATTGTTTTTTTCCTTTTGTTCTCTGTGTGATTTTTTTCTGTCCTGTCTTCTAATTCACTAACCTAATCCTCAGCTTCCCCTAATCTGCTGTGTATTCCTTCCAATGAGTTCTTTATTAGTACTAGGTCATTTTTTATTTCCAACTATTCTTTTTCCATAGTTACTATATCTTTTCTCATGCTGTTGAGCATCTTTACCATCATTATTCTGAATTCTATATCAGATAAATTTCTTGTCTACATTTCATTTATCTCTTCTTCTGGAAAATTCTCTTGTTCTTTTATGTGGTGTTTGTTTCTTGTCTTCTCATTGTTGCTACCTGTTTGGGTTTATGACTATGTATTAGGTAGATTTGATATGATTCCTAATCTCTAGTGAAGGACAGTGTCAAATGCTGTTTCTGACTAATTAGATCAGGCAAAGACTCAAAGCCTCCAGAGACCCATCTCTGCCTGAGACTGACTGGATTCAGTCTTGAGTAGTTCTTAGGCAATCATACATAGGTGTGGTGAGAGGTTAACCAACTGGGCAATTGGAGCAATTGCTTCTTCCTATAGATTATTATTCTCTGTCTCTTTTTAAAAAATGTATTTTTTTTTATTTCAGAGAGTTAGAGTTAGAGAGAGAGAGAGAAACATGAGTGATGAGAGAGAATCATTGATCAGCTGCCTCCTGCATGCCCCCTACTGGGGATTGAGTCCAAAACCCAGGCATGTGCCCTTGACCAGAATTGAACCTGGGACCCTTCAATCGACAGGCCAATGCTCTAACCACTGAGAAAAACTGGCTAAGGCTATTCTCAGTCTCTTAATGGGCCTCAGAAACTCCACACATTGGGGCAAAAGATTTTTCAATTGGGTGGGTCAACTGTCTTCCCCCTAGTCATAAATGGCCTGGATAGCAAAGGTCTCCCTGAGAAAGATGACCTCCACAGGGTGAGGGAATGACTCAGCACAGGCCCTGGGGTGACTGCCCTCTGAGCTAATCCAGAGCCCGCAAATCTAGCTTCTGCTCACAGAGCTCCAATCCACTCTGCTCTCCCTCTGCTAGAGCCCAACATGAGTGGCTGCACATTAAATTTTGTGCATTGGCCCCTTAAGAGGGTGCCTGCATTTCCAGCCATTTCTGGCTGGCAGACAGCAACCCTGCTGCTTTTCACAGCCAGATGTTATGTGGGCACGTTTTTTAGTCTGGTGCTCTCTTCTGGGGGCCCAGCCTGGAGATTAGACCCCAGAGTTCTTAGTGGGAACCCCCCACAGCTGAGATATATCACCAGAACTTCATCTGCTGTCTCTTAGAGCCCGTCCAGTCCTTCCACATCTCCATCCTTCCTACCCTTCTCTCTGAGGTCTCCATTTTCCATGCTTGGTTATCAGGGTTCTCTCCAGCTAGTCTTCAGTTGACTTCTCAGGATGGGTTTTTTGTATTTTAGTTGCAATTCCAGTTTGGTCCTGGAAGTGGGTCTGTGTAGCATCCACTTACTCTGCTACCATTTTTAATCTCTTCTATTCCAACTGTCTTAATATTGGGCAGGTCTTGTTCCTAACATTATTTTTCTTCAAAAATTTTTGGCGGTTACTTTGGTCTGAATTTAAACTTTCAAATCTTTATTTGTTATTTTTTAAGAGACATAAGTTGAGAGAACTTAAAAACTTGTCCAGGGTCTTTTTTCTAGAGTGAGCACAAAACTTTCTGACACCTAACCCATGGTCCTTTATGTTAAGTAACTCTTGAAATTCCTTGTTACATCCCACCTTCTTGTCAGACTGTACCTGGTTGCAGACTGGCTTATACTTGAGTCTTGGTTTGTTCAGTATTAGCTCCAGCTGTCTGCGGTTAAAATTGGATACACCAAGAGATTTCACCAAGCCAGCATCTTTGCAAGCTTCCAAAGCCTGTGTAGAGTAAATGCCATTGAATTTAGAAAGAAGCCTCAAAACAAGCAAGAATGAATGTTTAGAAGGTTAGTATAAATTCTTTAAAAAGGAAAGTCCCTGGGTATGTTAATAGTCATTCTGTGAAGAAAAAAATGTGGGGTGGACACAAGTAGGAATTGTTTGATTGTGGAAAATTTACACCTTATCTTTCCCTTGTAATATATATAATAATCTTATTTCTTTTTTGTTTGTTTGTTTGTTTATAATGATCTTAGTTCTTTAAATTTGTTGAGGCTTTCTTTATGGTATGGTACCTAATCAATTTTAATAATTGTCTTAGACGTGTAGGAAATGTATATTCTGCTGGTTTTTGATGCAAATTTCTCTTCTCTCTCTGTCTCTCACTCTCTCTCATACATATATGAGCTTTTTATGGCTTCTCAATAATTTATAGGATTATGACAGTAATCTCCCACTATAATAGTGAATTTATCAATGTTTTCATCTATTCTATTTAAAAATTAAAAATATATATATTTTTATTGATTTCAGAGAGAGGAAGAGGGAGAAAGAAACACCAAAGATGAGAGAGAATCATTGATTAGCTGCCTCCAGAATCCCCCATTCCCCCCACTGGAGATCTAACTGGCCATCTGGTATTGGCCCTGAGTGGAATCAAACCTTGACCTCTTGGTTCATGCTCAACCACTGAGCTTCGCCCATTGGGCTCTACTTTAGAATGTTTTCATATAATTTTTGTTTCATATACTTGCAGATATTTTATTGTGTACATATTTCAGCTGGTATGGCTCAGTAGTTGAGTACTGATCTATGAACCAGGAGATGACTGTTCGATTCCTAGTCAGTGCACATTCCAGATTGTGGCCTGGTCCCTTTGGGGTCATGCAGGAGGGAGCTCATGGATGATTCTGTCTCATCATTGATGTCTCTATCTCTTCCTCTCTTTTCCTCTCTCTGAAATCAATAAAAAAATAAATAAAAATAAACATGTCCTCAGGTGAGGATTAAAGAATAAAATAAAAAACTATGTTGTCAGATCCTATATAATAAAAGGCTAATCTGCAAATTGTCCCCTCGGGAGTTTGACCGACCAGGAGTTGGACCACTCGATATGTGTGCTGACCACCAGAGGGCAGCGTGGAAAGAAGGAAGGCCCAGCTGGCAGCCAGAAGGCTCTGATTGGCTTTGATCACTGGCCAGACATAAGGACCCTACCTGTGGATGAATTTTGTGCATGGGGCCTCTAGTATTAATATAACTATACATCTTTTTCTAAGTATTAGACTGATAAGATTCCCCGCGCGCCCCCCCCTTTAAATTTTAATATAAAATTAGGCCTAACCTAATTTTTCACATGTCTTTATGTTTAGATGTGCCTAATTCTAATCTGTCAATCTTTGCCTTTTAGTATGTGAATTTAGTTCATATTTATTGTAACTATAAATATATTTGGATTGTTTCTACCATCTTAATTTCCTACTTCAGTTTTTTCCACTTTTATGTTTCTTTTTAATACTTCCTTTTAAAAAGTTTATACCTATATCTTTCCTTTAATAAAGATAAGAATTTATATTGTCACACATTTCTTGATTTACCTTCACCCCAACATCTATGAAATTAATAGTCTATGCAGAATTTCATTTCCTATTATTATAGGTATATTTCTCTCTTTTTATTTAGTATTATATAGTTTTATAGATAATAAAAACTATATCATATTTGATTTGATTACTTTCAGTTTATACACTTCTTGAAGCATCTTTTAGAATTTTGCTCCTCTTATTTAGTAATAGTTTTCAGTGTTGTTCTTTATGTGGCAAAACTTCTGAGCAATGTGTGGATCAGAAAATATATTCATCATGTATCATTTTTGTCTTATAGTTTGAATATCAAGTTCAAGTTCAATGTTCTTTATTATTTAATACTTTGAAAATACTATTCTATTATCTCTTTTGCTGCTGATAATATAACAGAACTGATCAAAACAAAACTGATACCAATCCTATATAATATAGAGGTAATATGTTGGCCTAACCAGTTTGGCTCAGTGGATAGAGCATCAGCCTGTGGGCTAAAGAGTCCCAGTTTCGATTCCAGTCAGGGGCATGTACTTTGGTTGAGGGCACATCCCCAGTAGGGGGTATGCAGGATGCAGCTGATCAGTGTTTCTCTCTCATCAATGTTACTAACTCTCTATCCCTCTCCTTTCCTCTCTGTAGAAAATCAATAAAATATATATTTTTTAAAAAGAGGTAATATGCAAATTAGCCCTCGTGCCCTCACAAGATGGCTGCCTACGAGCAGGCTGGCAGGGGGGTTAGTGAGGGACGATCAAACGCCTGAACAAGCAGGCTGCATGGGGTGACAAGGCCGGCAGGGGAGGTAGTTGGGAGCAATCAAGCTGGTGGAGGGGGAAGTTAGGGGCGATCAGGTTGACACGCAGAGGCAGTGAGGGTGATCAGGCCAGCAAGCGGGGGCAGTTAGGGGTGACCAGGGAGGCAGGCAGGTGAGTGATTAGGAGCCAGCAGTCCAGGATTGTGAGAGGGATGTCTACCTGCCATTTAAGCCCGATCCCCTAACCCGGCAGTTGGACTTTCCCTGAGGGGTCCCAGATTGGAGAGGGTGCAGGCTGGGCTGAGGGACCCCCACACCCCCTGCACGAATTTTGTGCACCGAGCCTCTAGTCTCATTATATACTAGTATGAATGACTCTTTTATTGCCTTTCCCTTTTCAGTTTTGTTAGTTTATGCTTCATGTATTTTTGGAGTTTTGTTATTAGGTGCATAGATATTTAGGATTTATTACCTCTTTATTATAAAACAAAGTTCTTTATCCCTGGGAATAAAGAGGCTCTGGAATCTTTGTTGATATTAAAATAGCTACTCCAGCTTTCTTTTTATTACTATTAGCATAGTATATATTTTCCTGTCCTTTAATTTTTTAAACCTTTGACTTTAAACATCTACACTAATAAAAGAGAAAAATGGTAATTGGCGTACGACCGCTACCCTTCCCATTGGCTAATCAGCGTATCCTTATGCAAATTAACTGTCAGCCAAGATGGCGGCCGGCAGCCAGGCAGCTGGAAGCGAACATGAGGCTTGCTTGCTCCCGTGACTGCAGACTCCAACGTTCCCCGCCTGACTTGCCGGCATCTGAGCTGGCAGTTTGAAACATTCTAACAAATATAGCCGGCTGGGATCTCAGAGCTGAAGTTATACATTGTGTCGATTATAGAACTGCAAACAAACCAGCAGCGGAAACCTCAGAGCTAGAGCCAGAGCTAAAGCTGGCCCAGAATAAAAAAAAAAAAAAAAAAGAAAACAAGGAGCGGTTGGGAGCATCAGTCAACAACCACCAGCCTGAAAGCAGCCCTCAGCCCCTCACCCAGTCTGGCCAGGCACCCCAGTGGGGACCCCCACCCTGAAGGGTGTGTGACCAGCTGCAAACAGCCATCATCCCCTCATCCAGGCTGGCCAGGCACCCCAGTGGGGACCCCCACCCTGATCCAGGACACCCTTCAGGGCAAACCAGCCGGCCCCCAGGCCTCTATCCTATATAGTAAAAGGGTAATATGCCTCCCAGCACCGGGATCAGCGGAGCCACGAGGCCTCCTGGCACCAGATCAGCATGACAGGGTGCAGTGCCCAAACCCCCTGATCGCCCTGTGGCTCTGTGTGTGACAGGGTGTGGCATCCCAACCCCCTGATCGGCCCTGCTCTGTGTGTGACAGGGGGTGGCGCCCCAACCCCCCTCCCCCACGGGCCCTGCTCTGTGTGTGACGGGGTAGAGCTATAACCTCCCCATCGGCCCTGCCCTGAGTGTGACAGTGGCGGCGCCCCAACCCCCTGATGGGCCCTGCTCTGTGGGTGATAGAGGGCGGCGCCCCAACCCCCTGATCAGCCCTGCTGTGTGTGTGACAAGGGGCGGTGCCCTAACTCCCCTATCGGCCCTACTCTGTGAGTGACAGGGGGGGCGCTCCCCAACCCCCTGATGGGCCCTGCTCTGTGCGTGACGGCCGGGGGGTGGCAGTGCACCCACCCCCTGCATGGCCCTGCTCCTGTGAGGTGACAGGGGGCAGCGCCCCAACCCCCTGATTGGCCCT